TAAAGCTGATGTTCTCCCATGTAGACTATCACACAATTCACAATAAAACATTTAAAAAAAAAATTATTTACCATCTCTTTTTGGTATATTTTGCTTAGATTTTCTTGTTTCTTCTAATACCTGTTCACCATATTGTCTGATGATCTGAAAATTTTAAAAATAATTTAAATATGTGAAAATATTTTTCTTTAGACACTGCCATAATGTCTTTAATCATCAACATTCTTCTCCCCTTTAAGATTTCAAGTTGATAAATAAAAATGCCATTTAAAAATACATGTAATTTAGACAGACATTTATGTATGTCTTTTAAAAGATGTGGAAGGTTATGCAAACTATAACCAAGGTTTTAGTAAGGGAATAACATTTGGGGTGAGAGAAAAGGAAATTTCAACTTTTATTTTTTACACAGTTCTGCATGCTTTGAATTCTTCTAAGCACATATAATATTCAATTGTTCTTAAAAATAACAAAACAATTTTACCATATACTTAAAAACTGTCCATAGTTAACCCAACATGTATCATACCTCTTGGGGTAGGCATTTCTGGATAAGCCGGGCTATGCTACCTCTAGAGAGAAGTGTTGTAGCTGAAGGGCGCTGAGAAGGGCTCCTCTTAAACATCTGCTTGATTAGAGACTGGAGCTCATAGGAATAATGAGATGGTAGTGGATTGATGGACCCCTGGCATATTTTGAGAATAAGATTTTTCCAACTATTTGCCTGAAACTGAAAAATAGAATGGAACTTTGAAAGTAGACACAGGGAAAGAAAATAGAAATAAGAAAAACCTAAAATTTTAGATTAACCTAAAATACATACGAATCACACCAGTTTTATAAACTTGAATGCAGCCTTGTCATTTCCCTTTCTAGAAATGTTCTTAATATAATATTCTAAAATCTGATGCTGGTTCCAGAAATCAATGAAAATCTTTCCCACCTAGGAAGTCTTACCTTTGCTTTAAGTTCTTTATGAGTCATAATCATGGTTTTGCAGATACACATCTGTAATATATATTTTAAATCAAAGCAATACACACATGACTTTAAAGGAAGTCAAATGCCAATAAAATCTACTACCATTGAGTCAAAGTGACCCTGTACAGGGTTTCCAAGACTGGAAATCTTTATGGCAGCAGACTGCCTCATTTTCGTCCTGTGGGATGGCTAGTGGTTTTGACCTTGTGGCTAGCAGCCCAAAGCTTAACCCACGGTACCACCAAGGATCCTAACAGCAATAAGTTATCAGGATACCAAGGATAGTGATAGCAAATGGCTGATAATCATCTACTCCACTCCCTACCAGACACCCTTAGGCCTGTTCCCAGTACATACACAGGTCACCCTAAAGATTCTAATTTTCCCAGCTTTAAACTTCATATACAACTTGATTTACTTAGACTTTTTTTATCATTCATGTCATTAGTTATTAACATTTGACAAATTGCAATGGGATATAAGATTACATACCAGGATAACATTTAAAAGTTTTCTTACATAATAAATAATAATAGCGCTAACTAACACTAAATGCCAGTCGTGGTAACAGGTATGTAAGAACAAGTTGGCATTCTGCCTTGATAGTTTAATTACCCTATTAATAAAAAACACAAGTGTGATATGTTGTTGTTGTGAAGTGCCCACAAGTCGATTCAGACTCATAGTGATCCTGTATAGGGTTTCCAAGGAGTGGCTAGTAAGTTTGAACCATGACAGTTGTGGTCCAGTGCTCATCCTATAGCACCAAGGAAAAGCTCAAGTAGTGAAAGAATACTCAATCTGCTTTTAATCATTATGCCAGATTTGTGTATTTCCTGAAGTTCTGATAACTAATTTTGTCTTAAAGTAGCAAAAAGACAACAGATTGTACACCAAATACTAGGACACAATAGTGCTTAGGACCTATTCTTTCTAGGAAAAAAATAAGACATGTATACGTAAGCTTAAGAAAAAGATAAAGAAAGGAAAATAAAGAACATAATAAAAAATTAGATAGTAAAATTTTTAAAAAATTTGTTTACAACTTGGGCTACATATTTATCTGTTTTTAAAACACTAATACACAGGTCACCCATTTAATTAGTCTTGTGTGGGCCTGGGCATCAGCATTTTTTGAACTTCTCCAACTTTCTCTAATTGTGCAGCCAGCAGTCCAGTCCACTCATGTTTCAGAAAGGCCAGCTCTCACTAACAGAAGCATGTCTTCAGCCTGAGTTACTTCCATGTAGTACTACTGAGATCGTTCACAACCATTACTCTCTTCCCATAATGGCTCTCAAGTACATCTGCCAACAAAGTTTGTAGAGCTGGCTTTCAAACCAGATCCAAACAATATAATTTCTTTCTACACAAACCTAAAGCCTAATAGAGACCAACCCTATTATTACTGGGTCTCTGGAATCCTGGTGTAGCACTGTGGGTTAATGCACCAGACTGCAAAGCCATTTGAACTACAAGGTCGGTGGTTCAAGCTCACCAGTCGATCCTCAGAAACCCTATACAGGGTCGCTATGGGTTGGAATCAACTCGATGGCACTTAACAACAACAAATGTAATAAGCACCTGCTGAGCAAACAGAACAAGTTACTTAACCTTTTATTTGCTGTTGCTAAATTGTTTCTCAAAATATTTTTTTTAAATACATATATTTTTTAAAAATAAGATAAATAAAATGTAACAGGGCAAAGTATTTTCTCACAACATTTTAGTTAAGAGAAGAAACTCACATTAGGTAAGTGTAACTGTAAAAATAAATGTACAGAACTCTAGTAGCTAAATAATGGGATTACCCATTAGTAGTTAAGCGAATTAAGTAGTTTCTTAAAAAAAAGTACTTAAGCTAGTTAAGCAGTTCCAGCTGCTAACTGAAAGGTCAAAAGTTCAAGCCTACCAGTTGCCACGAGGCTGTTCCTGTAAAGATTTAGTGTCAAAGTCCTAAGGAATAGCTCTATTCTGTCTTACAGGCTCACTATGAGTCGGAACTGGCTCCATGGCTGTTGTTGTTGTTGTTGTTGTTAAGTGCCATCAAGTTGGTTCCAATCCATAGCGACCCTGTATAGGGTTTCTGAGGAGTGACTGGTGAGCTTGAACTGCCAACCTTGCAATTCAGATCCACTTTGCAGTCCAGCGCATTAACCCACAGAGTCACATCAGGCCTTCCTGGCAGTGGTGGATTATATGCAGATGGAATCCACGAACTACTCCACAGGAGAACAATGTGGCAGTCTGCTTCTGTAAAGATTACAGCCTTGGAAACCTCATGTAGTAGTTCTATTCTGTCCGGTAGGGACACCATGCGTCAGAATCAATGGCTAACAGTAGGGTCTAAGTTATATGCTACTCATAGTTTAAGACAGAGATGACAGCAAATCAAAACTTCTATGATGAATGAATCCTAGGGCTGCACACTACCCAACTGGCTTTTGACAAACTGCTAGGACTCCGACAGCCTGCCTTTTCTGATTTGTGAGCCATACTTACTGGGTGCTTAAGAGTACAGAGTTCGTACAGAATGCATCCCAAGGACCAGATGTCACTGGAGGCACAAAGAAGCAATGCGTTAAGACATGGGTTATGAGTTACATATATGAAATATACATGAAATATGAAAATACAAAAATATATGAGGGTAAGTCAAAAGGTACTGCTATAAAATCATAGAAACCTTTAATAAACAAAAATATCAAAATGTGAATCTATCCATTCTTTCTCAACACAGCCTCCATCTAGGTTTATATACTTTTCAAGGTGGTGTTTCCATTTCAATAAACCATCCCCAAAGAATTCTGTACTCCTCCATTTACACCCTGAAAAACAGTAATTTGTGGGCATCTTTCAGGGGCTCAAATCATGTCTCCCACATTCTTTTTTTCTTCTTCTACTCCTCCAAGTGTCTTCCTTTGCCTTTATCATTGTTTGCCAGCCTTGTTCTCATTGTATATTGCCTTCTCCTTCATCCAACTTAATATACATCTACCTCTACAACACTTAACAACGACCCTCTGGGTACTAATTTACCCTCCCTTCCCTCCTCTCCCTCTCCCCCCCTATTAACCATCACAGAATATTTCTTTAGTGTGCCTGCTATTTTTGGTCAAATATTTAATTAACTCACCCCTTATGTAATGACTCCAACTACAGTTGCCTAGGCAGGGCTAGACCAAATGATTTCAGGCCTTATATAGGCCAAGGGCTGGATATTCCCCACACCTGATCTAGACAAACAGATATCATGATAATTAATCATGGCCTCCTTTGAGCTGTTTATTGGAGTATCATGACTACTTGATCATGGCCACCTGGTATGATGCTGTAGGATAAGTACTTGACCAGTAACCATAAGGTCAATGGCTCAAACCTAGCAGAAATTTCTCAGAAACACTATACAGGGTTGCTATGAGCCAGAACTGACTCCACAGCATTTAACAAAAATGACTACCTTGTGCTTCAGTGTGAGTGGCAGAATTATAGCACACCTGTATATTGTTGATCAGCATTGCTAAGAACTTGCATATATATTGCTTATAACCAAAAGCTAATTCAACACCAATTAAAGCAGCCTGTTTTCTGTGGGTGTTCTTCCAGTTAACTTTCTAATAAAGGCTTTCGCTCTCTTTCTGCTTTATCTATAATGGTTGTTGATTGGGTTCAATCACTCCAGAGAATTAGACCCAAGATTTGGAGGTAACAAAGAAGTTGATATGAGTCAGAACCGACTAGACAGCATCAAACAACAATTTTGTAGCAATACTTTCTGGCTTACCCTAATATATATAGGTGTCCTGGTGTGACGCTGCAGAATAAGCACTGGACAGCTAACATCAACGTTGGCAGTTCAAACCCAACAGCTGCTCTTTGGAAACCCTATACAGGGATACTATGAACTGTAACTAACTCGACAGCACTTAGTAACAATAACAATATATATATATGAACCCCCTGGATGAAACGTTGCAAACATGAAAACACTTCACCCCTAAAAACTTTAGCATATATCTTTTAAGGACATTCTCCTTCATAAACTCAATATCATGATCACATCCAAGAAACGTAAATGTAATTCAATAATATCTGGTATTTAATCCAGTCTCAAATTTCTCCAATTGTTCCAATAAGTCACTTTATAGCTGTTTTGCCTCGAATTCAGTCAATTTTACTCCTAAAGGAACCTATTTAGCAGAGATTGCTATACTCATTTCAGAAAGCAACTTGCAGAGGGTAAGAAGAGCCATTAGGTGATTCTACTTTTAAGAATCCATGCCAAGAATATGATTTATACACAAAATGTGTGTTAATCATAGCACTGTTTATGATTTTGAAAATTGGACATAACCTAACTAGCCAACAACAGAAAATGGTAAAGTAACTTTTGGTACAGTCATATATATATATTGTTGTTATGTGCCTCCAAGTCAGTTCCTACTTAGCGACCCTTATAGGTTTTCCGGGGCTTTTTAAATCTTTGAGGGAGCAGAAAGCCTCATCTTTCTCCCTCAGAGTGGCTGGTGGACTCAAACCAAGGACTTTGTGGTTCACGGTTCAGTGTTTAGCCTGTAAAATACTATGCAGTCACAAAAAATATTTATGAAGAGTTTAAATACATGAGAAAATGAATACAATATTGCTATGGGTTGAATTATGTCCCTCAAATATGTGTTATAAATCCTAAACCCTATCCCTGTTTTTATAATCCTATTTGGACTGCAACATGAGATGGCGCAGTACCAAGGTACACTTCATTCTGTTATATACGGAGGCTTCAAAAAGTTCATGAAAAAATTCCATCATCTTTTAATTCCACTTTCCCATGAACTTTCTGAAGTCCCCTCATACATAGGTCACCATAAATCAGAGTTGACTTTAAAATTTACATTCAGCTCCTCTACGTTCTGATAAAAACAGTTGGAAAACTATAACTTTCATCTAGAAGCCTCAGAATAGAGATTCCACATTATGACAAAACTAAACAAAACAGCATGTTCCATACTACTTTACAGGTATGTCTGACTCAGCATCATTCTCAAGCTATAATGCTTGCTACCAACGAGTCAACCTTGCATTAAATAGTTTATCGCTTACCTTTTATTGTTATAGGGCTTGTTTTCCCAAATTTCTGGAGGCACGTAATAAGGTGTTCCCACATACGTACAAGCAAATGCCATGGGACTAAAACCATAAAAAGGCAAAGAATGGTTACAGAGCATTCCTGAAAATAACAGATGTTTTGATTACTGTTGCTCCTCTAGAGTAAATATACATACTTGGAGAGAAGATGGGCAGATCCAAAATCTCCCAATTTTACTTTTCCATTTTGGGTAAGGAAGATATTCTGCATTAAAAAAAAAAAAGAGCTCAGTTACATCCTCCCCCATTTACAGATAAGCTGCAGATGACTGCAAACTGAGGGTAGACATGCTGCTAGCTGAATACCTGAGTGGAACACAAATGAAAGATACCCTCTTGACAGCTATACCTCCTCCCTTGGGAATTCTGGAAACCTGATTAGAAATCTTAACAAGTAAGCTTCAGCCTGTATCAGCTGACCCTGATGAACCAACTGGGAGGCCCAGGCTATGACCATTTTCCATCTCAGAACAATTGGGCTTACATGAAACACTCCAAATTTACAGCCAGCAGACCAGAAGAAAGAGTGTCATGTAGGCTCCTAAGTTTGCATCTGGTGGCTGTCTCTTTGGCAGCATGAAGGACAATGTTCCTTCAGCTGTAAGTTATGACCTATCTTAGGGTGGCTGGGGCAGAGAGACCGAATGTCACATGAGTAGTTGGTGTCAAAGATGACAGACATGGGAAAATGAGGATTTCATTAATCTTCATATTTTGGGGATTAGATTTATGTTGATTCTTATCCATGAAGCCAAGTAGTGTTTTATTTAGTTAGTATAAATATTAGTTTGATGATTATTTCTAAGTCATACAACTATGTCCCAAGAGGAAGTATAATAATCTACACAAAATACTTAATAAATTTTTTTTCTCCTTCATTTTTCAAAGTCCAAAAAAAATATTTCACTTACCTTGGACTTAATATCTCTATGTAACACATACTTCTTATGAATATGATTTACTCCAAGGCACATTTGTGTGAACCAATTAAGTATCTGTAAGAAAAAAATTAACCAGTATTTACAGCAATGCAATAGCTGGTCCATGTTAACCCAAAAATTCAAAAGAATGATTTCTAGGCTTTAGGTAGACCAGAGTATTATATAATATAAACGCAGAACTAAGATTCAGTGTTGCCTGGTAAAATTAAATATATGTATGGTCCAAACAGCAATTTATTTTAATACAACTTCTACTATATTTTCCCACAATTCCTCCATCACTCTGTTACGCTGTGGTAGTTTGTGTGTTGTGGTGATACTGGAAGCTATGCCATCAGTATTTCAAATACCAGCATGGTGAGCCAGTTTCACCAGACCTTCTAGAATAAAATACATCAGCAAGAAGGAAGAAGCAGTCTACTTAAGAAAAATTAGCTACTAAAAACTGTTGGTCTACCGATAAGGGGAAGTGAGAGAAAAACAGCAATGAAGTTGTCAGCTATGTCCAACCACATTCTATAGACTCCTGTCAACCTGGATTGAGACCTGGTTGGCCAGCAGTATGGTGAGACCTGGGAACTCCTGGCCCCAGGGACAAGGACATTGCCACAGAGGACTAGAGCAGAAAGTGAAGCATTCAGCTGATACGAAGTGAGGGGAGATGCACAAGAATGCCCATACTTGCAGATAGTACCTACTTGATCTGACTTCAATGGCTGGATGATGAAAACCCGACTAGAAGAAGAAAGAAGAGGAAAAAAAGAGTAATCCGCTACACTTTGATGAACTTGACCTAACATAGTAGCTCAAAAGAGGGAACAAATCTTTACAGCAAGGATCATTCCCACCCCCTCGGTACACAGGGTTCACGGGGATGGGCAACTTAGATACTGGCTACCCAAAATGCAGGGGGGGGGGGAGGTACTAAAAGTCATGAAGTGACTAGCTTACAAGATTTCAAGAGGGATCCTAGTTTCAGAAGGTGCAGGGTAAGGTAGAATCTCCATTGAGTGGTTTCAAACCTATCTGGACAGGGCTGGTGAAAAGATATGGGAATAAAACTCTTGTGGTTCAATGGTGAATAATTGCTATCAGGACTGATTGTGAGTGTTGCAAATGTAAAGGTAGACATTTTGTAACAAAAGGAGTGAAGTGGTTGATCTTGCAGTCCAGGAACGGAGGACCCCGGGACCATCAAGGGAGAAGAGCAGAGTGTGGGACCCTATCCAAAGAAGCAGTGACCCCAGAGATGGAGGCAGAGATGATGATGTGGAGATGGAGCGGCTGGGGACTCTGGACTCAGGGAGGGAGAGGGGCTGTGTGCTGATGGGAGGCAGGCAGGCTTGCAGGCTTGCAGGTGTACCCTTTGGTTGTTTGAATGGTTATATATTCCTGAGTGCTTCAGTATACATCCAAAAAATACAGAGGGAATGGAAGCAAATGCTATTGAACGATGATGCATGGATGGGATTGTAATCATTTCAATGAAACAAAATACGATAGGATAAATATAAAGTTGATGTTCTCCCATGTAAAATATCACTCAATTCACAATAAAAACTTAAAAAAACAAACTGTATGTATAGCAGGAGAACATTTTCTGTTATAGTACCAAAAGATAAGCCTCTCAGGTTAGAAGGCACCAAAAAAACAAGTAGGAAGTGCTGCCTCCTCAAAGTAGAGTGAACCTTAATGATGTAGATGGAGCAAAGCTTTCATGACCTTCATTTTCTGACATGATATGACTCAAAATAAGAAACAGATAGTCACATACAATAATAATCAGACTGTGGAATGTACAAACTATGAACACAGGAAAACTGGAAGTCATAAAAGTCATCGATATCCTAGACACTGTTGTTATTGTTAAGTGCAATCAAGTCAGTTCTGACTCATAGCGACTCTGCATAGGGTTTCCAAGGAGTAGCTGGTGAGTTTGAGCTGCCAACCTTGCAGTTCAAACTGATCTTGCAGTCCAGTTATCCTGCAGTGCCATAACAGGACTCCATCACAAATATTAGTAAGCTGAAATGGACTGGTATTGGCAATTTTTAATCAGATGTTCTATTATTCCAAAAATAAATTGAAGAGGAATGGCATCAAATTCATCATCAAAAAGAACATTTCAAGATCTGTCTTAAAGTACAATGTTACCTATGATAGGACTCGTCTGTCAGTTTGTCATACTGTGGTGGCCTGTGAGTTGCTGTGACTCTGAAAGCTATGCCACTAGTATTTTAAATAATCAGCAGGATCACCCATGGTGGACAGGTTTCAGATGAGCTTCCAAAGGAAGACAGACTAGGAAGAAGGAATGACAAACTACTTCCAAATATTTAGTCACTGAAAACCTTACGAATAGCAGAGAAACACTGTCAGATATAGTGACGGAAAATGAGACCCTCAGGTTGGAAAGCACTCAAAATGTGACTGGGGAAGAGCAGCCTCCTCAAAGTAGAACTGACTGTGATGACGCAAATGGAGTAAAGCCCGTGGGAGAAAAGCCCATGGGACCTTCATGTGCTGATGGGGCACAACTCAAAATGAAGAGAAACAGCTATAAACATCCACTGAAAATCAGAACATGGAATGTACAAAGTATGAATCTGGGAAAATTGGAAGTTGTCAAAATGAAATGGAATGCATAAACATCAATATCTTAGGCATTAGTGGGTTGAAATGAACT